GAAACAGCTGGCTTGTACTTCCTTCACTTGCTGAAGCAACTGAAACATACACTAACTCTAAATAGTGCAAGGCATTTTACGTATGCAAGTATGTGAACTTTCATGTTAGTAATTACTTGACAATTTAAAATAAAATGTTTCTTCCTGTTCTTACCTGCGTCAGTAGGGCTGCACAAAACAGTAAGAGTGCTATAACTTTCAAACACTGCATCTTCTTTGGATAGGCTGCTAGTTACTAGTAACATTTGTGGAAGGGGCTGGAGTCCTGAATGAGTTCTCCCAAACCTTTCAGCTAGACTTTTATAGCCTCAATTCCCTCTCCTTGCATCAGCTACCAGCTGTAACAGGGACAAAGTCCATTTTGGAGACAGGAGAAATTTAATAAGTTAATGTCTACTAAAGTCAATTAGTTCAAGGTCTATCTGGCAAATTTATATTTACTTTTCTGACACGTGTACTTAATATGTATAGGAAACAGATCATACAAACTTGTGTTAGGTTTAAAAAAAGTAACACCAGAGTTCTGCTGTGTACCTGCCTGCAAAAAGGGTCACTGGCCTCAGTGTATTTTCTTGGGAGCAACAGGTGTAACCTTTTCACTCCCATGGCAGCAAGTATTTAAATTGTTGTGGGTTTCTTAAAAAGGGGGGAAGCTTTGTCAAATAGTTTTACCTTGAGACTGGAAGGTGGGAGTTTTGATTCTACTCACTTTTAGTGCATTAAGGCAGTTTGAGCAAATTATTTAACTTCTGTGCCTTAGTTTTCCTGTGTGTCAAATACCCTATAATACCACCAATCAGAGGGTAGTTCGAGTCCTTTTATTAATGCTTGAGGGCTTTTTACTTCATAATGATTTTCATTTAGAATTCATAATGTATAATTATAAATGTTAGTCTGAGGAGTTAATGTGGACCTATTTAAAGGTTATGTACAGGGAGCTATATGTATCTGAATAAAAGTAACAATACAACTTTTGCTTACCCAGGAGGGCTAACACAAGTGGGTGTTTAATTGGTTAGAAGAGGCAGTAGCAGCAGGCTCCAAATTGCAGTTAGCTTGACATTTAACTGTAAACTAATACTAGCAATATCAGCTTCTGAAAGAGCTTAGTGTGATCTTCTCAAACTATGGCAGGACCTCCCACTTTCTTAGCACAAACTCTTTTTATATGTAAAATATACTTTTAAATAAAATACTGGAGGTCAAGTGAATAAAATTGGGTACCTAAATTCTCATTAGCAGGGCCATGTGCAGTGACTGAGATGAAACCCTCAGCTGTGGAGATTTTTTACCTCCCACTCCTGCTATTTATTTTACATCTAAACTTTTCTGGTTTAAAAGTAGCATATGTAGAGGGTGTAGTATAGGTGTATAAGCATTAGCTTTACAAGAGCTTGTACCAGAGTTACAGGGTCAAAAGCTTGTGGGGTTTATCCAAATCCTTTGTCATAATGAACTACTTGGATTGAGATTTGGCACGTTTGAGTATGGCTTTACGAAAACTAAGCTCCTGTTTTCTCTTTATGCTCTTTGGGATTAGTTTTGGTCCTAACACATTAGCCAATGGGAGCTGCAGGGGTTATGCCTCTACCTAGGCATAAGCATGGAGGGGGCCATGCTGTTGCTTCCAGGAGCTGCTTGAGGTAAGCACTGCCTGGAGTTGTTACCCATGCACAATTCTCTGTCTCTACCACGCTTTCAGGGCACACACCTTTATCCAGCTCTTACGGCTCAAGGTGTAGCCATGTAAATTTAAATAACTACCTTTACCCAATTCCTAGGGCTTAGGGCTTAACTTCCTGCATGTTTGCAGGATCTTTTAGCAATGAGGGAACCTTACATAGCAAAATCCTCACTCTCACTGAAGAATTCCCAAGCAAGCAGACTATACATGCAAAGCACATAGTGCCATGCTCAGCAATCCTGATTGAGGCAGGCTAACTTCCCCTCTTGCCAGGTAAGATCAGTCTCATCTGGATTCTGGTTGCACGTCACAGTAGTGCAGAGGATTCTTGGCAGCTCTGATCTTAGGCTATGTGTTGGAAGTGACTTTGTCCAGCTGTTTTCTCCTTATTCTTTTGGTTCCTTCTTTTCCTTTCTTGCTCGTGGTCTTGACCCCCAGTTTACATAGTGAAATTTGAGTCTTGCTTAGCTCTTTCTTAACCAATTATTTTACTAAAATGTGACTAACCAGTTAACATACTAATAACAATTACCTAAACAATCCTACCCCACCATCTTAGTTGATTTACACCTAGCAAAAATTATACAGAAGGCAGAAACAATTAAAAACCAGACAGATCATACAAGCAATAGGAAAGTGAGGACCATAGATGGACATGGGTTCCTAAACTAGAGAGTGTAAAGAAATTCCAGGGGGGTGTGAGGCGATCCAGCCACACCTACACCCGTCAATCTCACCAAGTTTTGCTGCTATTTTTTTGGGAGAGGGGGCATGAGGATTTCTCAAATCAAAACGGGCATGATGCCGGAAAGTTTGGGAACCACTGACATAGAATGAGGATTCCACAACTGAAGTTTAAGTAAACACTTGTGTGTCACATTACAATAGGCAACTTCCCATTCAGTGACTCACCCCACCAGTTAGAGATGAGCCACATCTCCTTGTTTTTATTGATAAGTTCCTTTCCAGACAAAATGCTATACTAGTGATGCAAAGAGGAACAGAGGTTGGCTACCTAGCGCAGGTGGGAATGGGATTCTGCTTAATTGGTTACATTTTACATCCCTATATCAAATGAAGTTTTCCTTACCTATTTTGAGATCTGTTTCTTTATCTGGTGATAGTGGGTGCCATTAAGACAGGGTCTCCTTAACAGCCTGGTATCACACTATGGTAATGTAGTTTAGATGGAGTGACTCCTTCTATGTGCTTTATAGCTAATGCCTGCTGCTTTTTCAATCTGTCTGCAGATGAAGACCTTAGGCTTTAGGCCTTACAATATGGTTACAGATAAAGGCCATATCCTTACTGAGCTTGCACCCCTGAAACACCCCTCTAGTGTCCAACCCTGGCCCTAGCCCTGATCCCTTTCAGTCCCAGCCTGGAGCACCTTCTTATACCCTAAATCCCTCATCTCTGGCCCCAGAGCTCACATCTCTGGCCAGATCTCTCTCCCTTTCCCCAGCCCCGAGTCCCTTCCTGTACCCCGAATTCATTGGTGGGGCCACCCCTGAGCCTGCATCTCCACCCACTGTTTCATTAATATTCATGGCCTGCCATACACTTTCCATACTAAAATGTGGCCACTCCTGACCTTGATCATCTCTGGTATGTGTCTCAGACCTGCTCTTAAAAACCTCTGATGGAGATTCCACATCCTCCCTAAGCAGTTTTATTCCAGTGCTTAATTAGCCTGACACAGTTTTTCCTAATGTCCAACTTGAACCTATCTGCAATTTAAGTCCATTGCTTCTTGTCCTATCCTCAGAGGTTAGGAGCTGTTTGTCTGTCTTCTCCTTGTAACAACCTTTTACTTATTATAATGGCCTCTTTTCTTCAGACTGAAAAAATAGATTTGTTTAATCTTCCCTCATAAAATCATATTTTGTAGACTGAATAATTTTCATAGTTCTTCTCTGGACTTTCTCCAGTTTGTCCCTCTTTCTTAAAATGTGTAGCATCCAGAACTGGACACTATTCTGCTTGACAGTCTACACAGGAGGCATGGAAGAATTACTACTTGTGTCTTGCTTGCAACACTCCAGCTAATCTCCGAATGATTGTAGGGTGTGGGGGTTTTTTTGTGTAAGCATGTTACAGATTGTTATAAAGAGGACTATGATCAATTGTTCTCTCCTGAAGGTAGTACAAGACGTAATTGGCTTAATCTGCACTCAGAGATTTAGGTTAGATATTAGGAGTAACACTTGAACTGCAAGGGTAGTTAAGTTCTACAATCTAACTTCCAAGGGAGGTTGTGGAATCTGTCATGAGAGGATTTTTAAGAGGTTAGACGAACATCTGCCCAGGTTGGTCCTGCTTCTGCACCAGGGTCTTGACTTGATGATCTTTTGAGGTCTATTCCAGCCCTAGGGTTAATGCAATGCATGTACCACACTCTGTACCTGGTTCCTATGTCTACTCTATTCTTAGTGCACCTCAATCTAGTCAAGGGCTGTAGAGATCACTGAGGCTAGTGATCAAATGAATCTCTTTAGCTGAAGGGTGGGAAACCATTTTAGGGCTGGGGGCTGCTGTCCCACAGAAAAATCAGTTGGGGGCCATACCAGTGAGAAGCCCCCCCAAAAAACCCCAACCTCTTATCTGACTGAGAAGCATTCCTCTCCCACATCTGAGCCCGGGGGGAGGGGCAGTCTAGTAGATTGTGTGCTCCAGTATTGTGGTGGGCAGCTGGAGCCCCAATGCAGGTTCTGTACTGTGGTGAGGGGCATGATCCTTGTGGCCCCTGGGCCTGAGGTTCCCCACCCCTGCTTTAGCCCATTTCCCATTCACTTATTTTATCTTCTGGAGAACATAGTGGCTGAGACGTTCCTCTGGAGCTACTGCATAATGACACAATACACTTAAAATACACTTGATATAAAAAGCTCCAGTGCAGAAAGCTTTGTATGATCCCTATCCCATCAGCCTTGATGCAGAGGGGTGGAGTTTTCCACAACAGTTTAATGTGGAGATACTTGCTGGTGCCAGCTTGGCAAGAGGAATTTCCACTGTAAGACCCCATTGTAGGACTAACGCACCTTCAGTAAACAAGGAGCAGCCCTTGCATTTATCTTGTATCCTAATTTTGACAGCTGTTCAAAATGGAAATTGTAGGTAGTACAAGATTTTTCTATCCACCCTTTCCCCCAAGCCCTCCCTCCTTTATGCTTCTAGCTACCTCTGTGCTAGCTCACTGCAAGCAACAATTAAACCTTTGTACTCCCTCACCGGGCCTGCGCTGTAAGATGGCAATCAGTTGGTAAAGTACAGCAGGTCAAAAGGGCTGAGTTTGAAGTGGTGGCTTGTGCTGAACATGAGCCCTCTTTTCCTTTGCATCTTCAGCATAATTCTGAGGAACCCTAATATGTTCTCCAGCCAGTCTCCAGGTTGCCTACTTAGCAGCTGTTCACATAAGCAGAGGTGAGTGCTAAAAGCAGTTGTGCTTTAAGCAGAGAGCTGGGAAGGCTGTTAGTCACAGCTGTCATTATTCTGTACAAGACCCGCGACCACCTCTGTGCCCCAGTTTCCCCATTTTTTTAAATGGGGCTAGTACTCAGAGTAGGTGGTGTGGTGTGCTACAGGTTGGCCCTCCCTGGTCCAGTGGGGGTTAGGGGGGAAAAAGGGAACCGGAATTTGCCAGGACCAGGGAAGTTCTCCTGCCACTGGCCCCCTCATCCTACCTCTGGCTCCTTCAGTCCCACTGCTGGCTGG